TTTATATAATTATATAAGCTAAATATTCTCTTATCCTAAAATTCTTCAGTTTGCAATGAGAAAGCCTTTGTTAAATACCATGGATAAAAACTTAAGTTTTAAATATTCTCTTATCCTAAAATTCTTCAGTTTGCAATGAGAAAGCCTTTGTTAAATACCATGGATAAAACCACCGCTACTTAAGTTTATTGAAAACACGTTTGTCGTTATCGAGATACAAGCGAAACTATTTAGGACGCGTAGCTTAGCGTCGGGTGGAATTTATCGTCGATTTTATCTCTTCTCTTTCTCTTTCATTTGATCTCGATTAAACCTTCTATCTCGCGCTTGTAGTTATTCACGGACAGTTTGGCGTTCACGATGAGTCAACGAGCAAGACGAGTTGAATCTCGTAGATCTGATCGAGAGGCATATTGACACATCGGCTGAGCGCCGATCGTGCCATAGTATCTCTCGCGTTACAATGCGATACTATGTATCAGGTATCCGTGAATCATGCAATGCGTACACCTAACGCGCCACGCGCCACGCATACGCCGCATGATTACCACATTAAGATCAGCCGATAGGACCTACCAAGCAAAATAGGCAGCTGAGACGAGCGTGCGTCTCGAGGCGATACATTCTTGTCATATCTCAATGCAATTACAATAGTATTGTAAACTGTCAAAATCTGAATATGTATACGTGTAACTTGTGGTTTCTCTTATGTTGCAATGCAGGAGTATTTGTTTATTTTCGTTGTTTTATTAAAAATTTTTTTTTCAAGAAAGCTTTTGGTGCAAAAATGTAGGTATATTAGTTTCGTCAGACAGACGAAAGCTCTCATCTATCTTTACAATAAGAAGAATAATGATGGGGGAGAGAGAGAGGAGGGAGGGGAAGGATTAAAACATAAATATAATTTTTGGAAGCGCGCGATTGCGTGAAACCGTATTTATATATATTACACTTTGTGGCAAGAGAGAGATCCTGCGTTTCCTAAAATATTTTCATGTACAGTATCTTATGTATATTTATACTCATTGTCAATTAAAGAGAGAGAAGTTATTCTGAGACTGTGTCTCTAGATATATGCAGAAGAGATTTAATAGTTAAACGTAGTTATTAAAATAATTCGCATATCAAACGATTTTACTAATTTACTCTAACGACCTTAGCTCGGCTGCTTACTTGAATCGTTAATATCCACCAGTGCTAATTTAGTTCAAGGGAGTTGTGCGAATTTCTCGTCTTTGTTCTCCCTGGGTGGCGTACGATGGTTTAGCAATTGCGACGAGGGCGCGTCCCGGCGTAACGGTAGAGACAGTCGGAAAGACAGGTAGTTCCCTTCTAGATCTTACCACCTTGCATAATGCATCGCGCGACGCCACTAAGCCAAAGGAGAAACTTCCCTGACGTGGAACATCAGGAACACACACGCATAGCTCTTCCATTTCTCTCTTCCTTCCTTATTGTTTAGCATCCCGTTGTGCAAATCCTTCCATTGACTTTCGATCTGCTTGGCTCTTGTTTGGTTCTATCTTTGTACGATGCGTGATCTCTATATTGCTGTTTAATCGCGGAAATTTTTATTAATTCTGTATCACAGAATAATTCTTGATTCTATAATTCGATTCAAGAGATTTTATAAACAGATATAAAATTGTGATCGATGCGCAACGCGCGAGGAATCTACCGTGAATAAACAAATTGAAACAATACATTTTTTAGCTATCCTATCGTGAAAGAGCTGAAAGCTCCTCGGTATCGGAAACTTTGTTTGCACGCAAAAATTTTGCTTCGGTATCGGAATCTTTGTTTACATGCAAAAATTGTTGATTAGTGCTGAGGTTGTTCAAATTTTCTGCGCGAAGATCATTAAAGTTTTGATGACATTTTTTGTACTTTAACACGGGATCGATGGTTGTACGGCTGCGCGGCCGCTCGCTTCGAATTTGCCTGCGTTGGGTTTCACAGAGAAACACGATGCGGTACGTTAACTCCGAAATCCCGTGAAGGACTTCGACCATCGTCATCTTGTATGTACCACGTCGTAGCTGCGTACGCCTAGACGGTACGTGCGGACGGTGGTATGGTAATCTAGTTCGCGCTAAGTTTCCGCCGAGCTCGAGTTAAGTCGGCTGCGTCGAGTAAGCTCCTGGTGTTACCACGGCTGATGAGTCCAGGACACTTTGGGGGTACGGTTACTAAAAGATGACACGTTCGCATCGCGATAGAAGCCATTCCGCCGGCTTTCGCATAGCGTATCGAGGATCACTTCTTTAGATCGCGATCCCACCGATTGTAATATCGATAACGTTACCAAGATCATTTGGTTTACCGCAAAAATTGCTTTTCTCTTTATTTTAACGTATCCACAGTTAAGTAAGAAAACTGCGTTTTTTTCGACATTTTATTATAGATTTTATTGCTAATAATCTATCTGCAATAATATCTGCAATAATGAGAAATGAGTTTATCGTTCGTATGTAATGCAAATAATTTTATTAAAAATAAAATAAAATTTTGTAAAGAGTCTCTTTAAATAATAAACTAATATATACTTTAAATAACAAAATAACTAATTTAAATAACAAAGAGAAAATGATATATTACTATTTGTGTGACATACGTAGAATTATAAATACTTAAACTTGCATGTTCCATATAATTAAGGATTATTTAGATTTTGCGTTAATTAACCTTTTGCGCTTTAGGCTGTGCAGTCTGTATATCTATAACATTAATACAGCGTCAAACTGGCTAACTCTAGCATACTCTGATGTTCTATGTTTTATGCGTTACAAAGTGGGATAATCACATAACTTTGTCATACCGCTAGTTAACTTAGAAAGCTTATAATTGAAGAGAATATGTACTTCGCGAATACGTTTATTTGGCATTACATAATGAAATTTTGGTAGTCCATGCAGTTTAATGCTAATAATATTTTACACAATGAAAACTTCAATGTTGTCGCTGCATTAGTAAAGATAATTTATGAAAAAATATAAAATTAAAGAGCCGGTATTTTTTTATATATATAATAAGAAAGAATAAGAAAACATATTATGATAATAATAAGTAATTCTGATATTCCAACTGTTTTTATTAGTTTAATTATTATGCGTATTATTAAGTCTGAGATAATTTGACATATCTATTTAAAATTATGCAATTTAATTTATGAATTATTATCTCATAGAATAATTGATGGACGTGGAGCGCTTATATCGACATTAAAATTTATGATTTTAAATACAATGTGATTTATGATAATGTCGCATATCACTGTAAAATAACTACGTCAACTCATTAATACCGCTTAAAACTAATATTGCATCGTTTTCCATTTTTCATAAAGACAGAATTGCAAGTGAGTAATATACATAGATATAAAAATTGAGGAAAATATAAATTCGCTTAATATTCCTTGAAAAATAATTTCATTTCTGGGACACAAAAGTATCATTAACTGAATAATTCTATAATTTCAATGGCATCTTCTGACTACGCTGAGAAATGTTCTAAAATTTAAAAATTACACAATAAAATTGTTTACAATAAAATTTAAAACCTTGAAAATAATTAGTACTATTATAGATGTCAATATAAATAAGGTTATGGCAAGTAGAGCAATGATATCTATATCGTAACGTTGATACCATGGTTTATCGCATTCACTAAATCGGAGATGTTTTACTTCTTTGTGACGCATCACAAATTCTATCCACCATATTGCATTTTCCATGCTGTCATATGGTTGATCCTTGAAGAGAGAACTTAGATACGTCATCTTCTCTTTGTAACTAAACACGTATTAAATTACCAAATCGCTATTAGTATTTAATTGCATTATGTTAAAAATAATTATAAGAAATTAATTATATAAATTAATATTGATATCTCGGGTAATTTATATTAATTATATATATATATAACATAGTACAAAATACCTTTTATCGCTTAAAATCTGATGAATGGCTGTAGAGAAAGATTCTTTGGTTATTTCGTTTAATTTGAGATATATTGCCGCACCTAACGAGACCAATCGTCGAACTCGAACTTCCTGTTCGGTTACAATAGGAATTCCCAAGACTGGAACTGCGTAATAAACAGCTTCTTCGGTACTCTGAAGTCCGCCTTGATAAATAAACAGCTTGATGTTTGGATGAGCTGCACGAATGAGACAATTAGTAATACTGCGCGAGTCATATAAATGGATTGTCGATCGCGAAATAATGACTTCACATTTTTAATTTTACCGAGTACGCCTTGTTGCGGAAACCATTTCGAGATAAATGCATTATCGAGCTTTCTTGACAATTCATCGCAATCAAATTTCCAAACTATTTTATAAGATAACTTCGAAAATACTTCAACAAAGTTTTCTAGCATTTCTTTCTGGAAAGTGTGGCAGGCGACGGTGGTTCCAAAGCTTACATAAATAAATCCTTCTGTTGCGTTATCTAGAAATTGTCCTAATTCCTCGTCGTCGTATTTAAAAATTAATTATTTAGTACATTTGTTACAAAGTGATAAAAGTTGGAATAATATATTACCAAACAGTCTAATTTTCGATATGATAATAATCGTCTTAAAAATTTACATACTTTTGGCAGAGGTGGCAGCGTTTTTTGTATATGGATTCCGCTAAAAAACACTGCATTTGGCTGTTCAGGTCTAGGGTATACGATTGCCGGGTTTTCATTAACTAACAACACACTCATATTTTTTGTTATATCGATGATGTGTGGTATGTCATTTCCGAGATATTTTTTAATTTTTTCTTGCTCTATGGTTATGAAATCATTAACCCAATAATAAATAAAGGACCATATCTCGATAAAGTTTCGCAATCTTTGCCAAAACGATGGATTTTCCCCAACTAACGTATTAAGTTCCCAATTTGAAGCATGCGATGGAAGTATAGGACTACCAAAAACATATCGTTGAAAATTATGCACGCCCACGGACATGATTCCTGTGTAATGGATTATCGAAATATCAACGTATGTTTCACAACATATCGAAGGCATAACTCTTGCAGAAGGAATGGTCAATACTTTTATACTTATAACGATACTAACATGTCAGGCAATACAAATATCTCCTAAAATATCGACCGTTCCCCCTTGTTACATGTCACTTGCAAGATATCTTGTACATGTCACTTTCAGAAATCATCTCACCTATGAGAGGAGCGTTAAATCTATATGCCATAGTAAATAACGCCGGACCGCTTACTGCTTCTACGATAACTGCGTCAAACTTTTCATTACTATCTTCCCTATAAAGTTCCTTAAATTTTGGTTCATCAAATATGATGTCTTCCACCATGTTTGCCAAGTTTAAGGAATATCTGCTCAATTCATTCGATGGTAGTTGCGAAAATTGTTTTCTAAACTTTTCAGCAATAAATATTGTACATGATAAATCGATTTCTGTATAGTTTTTTAACGTCGGATCTCTCATCGGATGTGAAGTTAATATGACTATTTCGTGCCCTCGTTTGTTTAAGGCTAAACATAACGACCGGTGAACTATTTGATGACTGTAAAGCGGTGCATACGTGATCACGAGAATCCTTTTGGCATTCGCAATGTTGTTTGCCAGCAGCAGCCATAGAGATAAAATCGCGCACATTGCACAAATAACTTTATACATTTTGCCAGTGTTCTGGTAGAACTGGTCTTTTGGATTTATGAGCACTCATATATATAAATATTTTAACAATTGCTACTAGAGCTCAAATGAGGACGCTATCGCATCGCGCTGTCTGATAACGAGTATATAAATAACCATATTTAAAAATACGTGTATATATGTGAATTTTCTATTTGTGTGTTGTAAAATCAAAAAACTAAACATTTTCGATAAGATTTTAATCATTATATATACATATAATCATTATAAATATAATCATTATACACATTATTTTACATTAATCGTTTATAATTTATTAATACATTAGAAATAGTTTATATATATCTTTATTTTCTATTTTAAATATTGTTTTGATTCGATGACTCTAATCATTCATTCGCAGATCGAATTTATATTATAATAGAATAAGACAAAAAGAAAAATTTTTATTTGATAAAAAAATAAAAAAAATTATGCGTATTTATCACTGTTGAGACTATTGCTTGGAATGCATTTTAAACGTATGATATGCTTTTCTAATTAAGGTAAAAGTACCGATTGCCGGACATGTCCCTATATCCGGACATTTACATGAAAATTTATCATTATTAATCTCAAATGAATTATTTATTATAATATCAAAATTTTATTGCAAAATCTTTAATTTAAAAATCTTTATTTTTCTAATATTTATATAGTAAGACATTTTTAAATATTATAAAAATTAACATCCAATAAAAAGGTAAATTTGTTACGTAATTAGACGAAGGACATATTTTGAGAACGCTCTTAAAATTTTCTTAAGAAAATTCGTCTTACTTATTAAAATGATTTTTATTTTATTCCGTGTTTTTATCTTATAAACAAAGTTTTATGAACATTATTCAAGTCGAAGAAGATGTAGAATAATTATAAAAATGTTTTTAATTGATATAAACAATATTTTTTTGGCAAATTTTGCAAATTTAGTTACTGGTGCAGTAATTTACGTGATTGCCCAGTAACTGATCGTGTGTTTAGTTACCAGTACAACTCGCTTCGATGACACATGATTAGAAAGTACCAATAATTAAATCGGACTATTTAATTACTCTTAAGATGAATTCCGTAAGTATTTTTATAAATAATGTTATTTAATAGTATTATCAACATTAGTTTAATATCTATAAATATATATTTCAATAGTTTGAAAAGATATGTTTTAATCAAAACGAGAATGCCCTACATAACCCTTTTGCGATGTACCTGCATTGACACTAAATAAGTAAATATTTTTTTATATTTATATTTTTTATATTTTTTAAAAATATTTTTTTATATTTGTTTTTAAATATTTTTCTATATTTTTGTATATATATATACAAAATTTGATTTTGTGTATCATGATTTTGAATATCTAAAAATAAACAATGTAATTATAAAAAGATATATATATATTATATTTAAAAAAAATATAAAAAATATAAATGGAAAAAAATATTTACTTATTTAGTGTCAATGCAGGTACATTGCAAAAGGGTTATGTAGAGCATTCTCGTTTTGATTAAAACATATCTTTTCAAACTATTGAAATATATATTTATAGATATTAAACTAATGTTGATAATACTATTAAATAACATTATTTATAAAAATACTTACGGAATTCATCTTAAGAGTAATTAAATAGTCCGATTTAATTATTGGTACTTTCTAATCATGTGTCATCGAAGCGAGTTGTACTTGTAACTAAACACACGATCAGTTACTGGGCAATCACGTAAATTACTGCATCAGTAACTAAATTTGCAAAATTTGCCAAAAAAATATTGTTTGTATCAATTAAAAACATTTTTATAATTATTCTACATCTTCTTCGACTTGAATAATGTTCATAAAACTTTGTTTATAAGATAAAAACACGGAATAAAATAAAAATCATTTTAATAAGTAAGACGAATTTTCTTAAGAAAATTTTAAGAGCGTTCTCAAAATATGTCTTTTGTCTAATTACGTAACAAATTTACCTTTTTATTGGATGTTAATTTTTATAATATTTAAAAATGTCTTACTATATAAATATCCTTAAATTAAAGATTTTGCAATAAAATTTTGATATTATAATAAATAATTCATTTGAGATTAATAATGATAAATTTTCATGTAAATGTCCGGATATAGGGACATGTCCGGCAATCGGTACTTTTACCTTAAATCGTAGACGGAACCGGTTGCTGATTAGCATTGATTGCGATATTTTTGCGGTGCGATAATTGCTGAATGTTAGACGCAAAAAAAAAAACATTGTAACGTCAATATCATGTGTCAGACAACATTAATATTTATGCGTGTCTATTTTCGCAATATTGATCTAGCGTTGCATAAAGGATCACTTTATTACGAGACGAATGTGTAAAATTCCGGCCGAAGTGATTAAGAT